ATGAGGACTAGTAGCCCTTGGCAGTCTTCTCTTCCAGAAATAGGTCCAATCCCCTTAAAAGCCATTTGAGCGAAGGCACAGCCTGCTCCCCATGGGGCCTTTGCGAGATGGATCGTTTGGCTCCAAAGTGGCCTTTTTGTGGCAGCGGGGGAACCCCCGGAAGGGTGGCCACTGCAGTTTGGAGTGGGCACTCGGACTCACAGACGGCGGTGTCCTTGAGCCCTCCTGGGACATATGGGCTTTGTTGGCATCAGCAAACAAAACGCACAATTATGACCCTGAAGGGATGGCCAAGGCTGAAGCACCTGGAGAAAGTGCCGGGTTTCACTCTCCCCCGTGCGGGTCTGTCCTGGGGTCCAAATCTTCCCACGGCCAGTTCCTTACACCTGAACTTGCATCATGGAATCCTAGAACAGCAAAGCTGGAAGGGGCCCGGAAGGCCACTGAGCGCAGGACTCCGGGCAAAGTCCTGCCTCCCAGAGGGCCGTCCAGCCACCTCCCGCATGGGGAGCCCTCCACCTCCCCAGGCCGTGGGGGGTCCCGTTGCCAGACTGCTCTGCCAAGGTGTGGCGAAGGCCACTGGTGGAGGCATTTTGGTGGACAATGCCTGATGGCAAGTACCCAGGCTGGACACACGCGTGGGTGGCTGGAGCCGGGGGTCAGACTAGATGGCCCAGGAGGCCCCTTCTGGCTCGCTGTTTCTGTGTTTCTGCCTGTAATTCCCATCACTGTGGAGAGAAACTCCCTGAACAGCAGGAGCTGGGAAGGCGCCCGCTTGCTCGCTCACTTCCTGGAGGCACCTGCTTGGCCAGTGGGGGCACAGAATGTCCCCACGGCCCTTTGGTCGGATCCCGCCATGATGCTGGAGTGGCCAGGGGCCCTGCTTTACAGAGGTCAGTCCTCTCTTTGAGTGCCTGTCCTGCCCCAGTCTGGCTCCAGGGCAAGGGCGGCAGAGCAGCTGGGGGCTTGAATCTGCCCCTCTGCAGGATGCGGCCGAACGGGCAGACAGGACGGGCCTCTCCGGACAGCGACTGGTTCCATCCCTCCCCACTATGGTGAGACGCATCCTATTTCTGGTCTGTCAAGTAAATTAGCATATGCAAATGGCATGCAGATGTGCACGCTCCTCTTTGACCTGTGCCAACGGCTGCCCAACAACCAGGGCTGGTCCGCGTCCCGCAACATTCTTGCCGGCAAGCGGGAGAACAAATTCACACGGGCTGGAGATGGAGGTTCGCCTGACAAAGAGGCACGCCACTGTGCTTGAGCCAGAGGTGCTGGAGCACAATTCCCATCTTTTCCAGAGGGAAGGACCACTGGGGATGATGGGAGTTCAACTCCAACCTTGCCCAGGAGCACCGGACAGGGATGGCTGGAGGTGTGGGCTCAGAAGGCGTCCGTCCAGCCAAGCTGGAGCAGCGAGCAGGGCAGGCGCCGAGAGGGGGGGGGTCGCCGCCCTCAGCCTTGCTTCCTCCCCCAGGGAGCCAGTGCTGTGAATGGCCCCCACTGCCCTCTTCTGAGCCACCAGCCCCATGGGGCACAGGAGGCCTGCCCCGCCGGCAGCTCCAAGGGTGGGCAACACGGCCGGTCGCTTGGGCGCTGTCTCCCCCAGGCGGGTGCCTCCAGTCCCGGCCGCCTCCAGCTCCGGCCCGTGCAAAGGGGCTGAGCCCAAGCCAGGCAGGTGCGGGGTGGGCCTTGGGGGCGCTGGATGCAGCCCTATCAAGCTGCGCTGGACACGGGGTGCTCCATGCCATGAAAGCCCACGCAACTCCGTCCATCGCCAAGCTGCCCGAGACGTATGGGCCGCCACACAGAAGCGACGAGAAGCAAGACGCCGCAAGCAGAGATGGTGCGGCCACGGGTGGTCCCCTTTGCGCCCCCGCACATACTGGCCACCCCATGCCCCTCCCCCGCCCCTCCCCCGTATCATCCAGGCCTGCCTTTTTGTTCTAGAAGTTAAGATTCCAGCTCTCAGGAAATGTAATCCAACTTGCACGCTGGACGGGAGGAACAAAGGCTCGCCTACCTATTTTGGTTTGGCCTCAGGGATTCTGATTTAACGTGGTTTGTACCTGGGGCAGAGCCAGATTTGGGAAACGGAGGGGCAGGGCAGTTCTGGAAGATGCTCAAGGGCCAAACGTAAAAAGAGTCAAGAAACTGGAAATTCACCAAGCTCTTCTTTCTGCCGAATCTCATTAGGTCATGTTATGATTTCTGAGGTTCATTTTAATTTTTTTAATCATACGAGAACTTGAGGGGGTGGGCATGCAAAATATCACAGGATAAAGCAAGACTCGGCTCCCATGATATTTACGAAAAATAATAAGTGAACTTTCAGATCTGATCCATCATCAACAATGCAGAATTGTTTGCACTGGCAGCAGCCTTCAAACTGACTTTTTATTTTTATGAGAAATTCTCTCCCTGTTTTTATCCCTTCAAAATACATCTCCTGAGAAGAATGATGCTAACCAGATGAATAACCTCCCCCTAAAACCCCCATTTACATTTCTAATAGTATTACATATTTTGAGAACAGAATCAGAAGTCGGGATCCATAACTGGGGTTTTGGTAGAACTCGTGGCTTCTTAAATCTCCCCTTAATTTGAATTTCTACTGGAACACTCGCAGGGTGAATCAAATGCCAAGATAGTATCTTTGGTGAACACTTGACATTTTTACAGAGATAATTTAAAAATACGAGCCCCAAGTAAGACAGTTTTGTCGTTCTTGTGTCCTTTAGTAAGAACAATGTCCCACTGCTGCAAGAGCCCCCAAAGCTGGAGTTTGCCTGAATGAGCAAGTTTAGGAGGCGGAAAGGGTCATTCGAAGCACAACATCGTCTATCGCAGCAGCACAGAACCTGCGGCATGCACCCCACGATCCTTTGCAAAGGTTGCCAGGGATGCTGGGGTGGGTGTGCCTTTTGAGCATGCCACGGAAGGTCTTTGGGATGCACCACTCGGGTTGCGTGGCGCTCTTCTGTGGGACTGCGGGGTATCTTGGGTTGATTTGGTCTGCAAAAAATGAGAGAGAGCTTTTTTTTGGGGGGGGGAGGTGCAAATGGGGGCCCAGCGACTGCTCAGCTCCAGGATGATGCCTGCTGCTTACCAGGCGAGGTCGTTGGACCACATCAGGGGGAGATTCTCTGGAACGGGCTCCCTCTGGGATGTCCCCCAGCCTAACCCAGCAGCCTCTTGCAGGCTTTCTCAATGCTGCCCCCAGGGATGCCACCTCACAGCGCTACCGCGCAGGCGGAACGATGGCTGAGCTGGGGGCGCCATGCTGGCCCGCTTGCCCGCATCAGCCACCCAGAGGGCTTCGGGCTGGAGTCGTGTGGGCTCCGTGCAGGACCCCATGCACAACAGGAAGGCCGCTACCCAATCCCAAGGTCAGTGCATCGAGGTTCCAGGGGTGGCGTTCAGTGCGCCGCACATGCCGTCGCCAATTTAGCGGGTTGCCAGTAGCGTTACCCGGAGCGACGGGCCTCCCACGGACCCCTCTCACCCCAGCTAACACTAACGCATCATCACACCCGAGGTCCCTAATGCTAGCGTGATGTGATTTCTGGCAACAGGGGTGTCCCACAGGACACTGTCCCTTGAGTTTTGCGTGAGTTACTGGCACCTGGCTCTGTGCCCAATCGTGGCCAAAACATTATGACAGAATCACACAGTGCCTGGCCCAGATCAGTCCTGATCATGCATGGAGCTGTAAGTTCAAAAGGTGTTTGGGAGGTGCCTCGAGGGGCTCATCACTTTCTTATGTTAGCCTCAAGGGATGACGTGCATCCGTGAATCAACCACCACAGATGGAACCTCTGCTAGCGCATGATCTCAGCTCAGACTCGGTGCTCCTCGGAGAAGACGGCTCAGAGGTGTGGCTGAGCGGTACTGATGCGTTTGAACTTGGGTCTTGAAGGTGAAACTCCGCCTCGGAGCTCGGCGGCTGCCATTTTCCTCAGCAGACATGTGCTTGCTGGTGTTTGGGTGTATGAAACTGGATGGTTTTGCATCTGGATGGGTGGGAGATGTTTGGGACAGACACTTTAGATTCTTGTTCTGCAATCTCTTTCCAGGAAAAATTGCAACGATGTCTTTTGGTGGTAAATCCAAATATCTCTTAGAGTGAATCAGCAGTACAGGTCTGCCATGAAGACGCCATCTCTAGAAGGACAGGCCAAACTGAAGACACAGACCAGTGGCAGGGTAGGATTTCGGTACATATGCAATTCTTCTTGCATATGGTGGCAGGCGTGGTGGGGTTTGTCCTTGGAGGAGCCCCATTGGAACCAAGGCAATGACTTGCTGAGAAGAAGGGATGATTTGTCCCGGTTGGAGCCAGAGGGTCAGTCCTTCAGTCTCCACGAAGCTTCCAACAAGCATCTATCTGCAAAGCAAAATCCACTCCATCCCCAGGGGGCAAGCCACGCGATCCATTCCTCACCCAATCACAGTGATGAGAGAGAGAGAAACTTGCCTTATTAACCACACAGAACATCCAAACGTTTTGGTCTGATTCTGCAAAAGAGGGACACCCCACTGTGAATCACTCAACTGCCACCCCCGCTCTTAAAGGTGCCCGTTATCACCGGAAGTTGGTGGTGCTGGTGTGGCGAAGCAGCCCCCTTCCCGGCTCCACACTTGCAGGGTTGGACGTGCCGCTTTCTACTTCAGTGCAGTTTGGAAGGTTTTCCAAGGCAGGGGCAAGTTCCGCTCCGGCCGGGTTGCTCTCGGCTGGCCCCGTCCCTGCACGGTGGCCCCGAGCGGCTGCCCAGGAGCTCCTCCTGGGGAGGAACAACGCTCGGTCGCTGGAAAGGAGTCTGCAAACAAGCTGATGAGGTGAGTCGCTTTCTTCCCTTCTTTCTGTTCTTGGTATGAAGTCGACGAGGAGGAGGAGGGTGGAGGCTGGCGTGACCTTTCGCCCCGGCACCCCAAAGTGGAACGAAGAAACAAAAGAGGAGTTCGGCCGCAGCTGCGGACTGGGGGCTTCGTCTGACTCACATGGGCCCGAGGAGGACCGTGCTGGTGGACGAGGCGCACCAGAGGAGCAGGCAGCCCGTGAGGGCCGGGGCCCCGGCCGCGCTGGAGGCATCGGAGGCGAGGTGGGTGGCGTCCCGGAGCAGCTTCTCCTCGGCAGAGATCTGCGGAGAGAAAACGGGCCAAGGCGAGGCATGGGCGCCCGGCCGGACTGCCGGGGCCAGCGCTTGCGTGACCTTCGTGCCTCTGCCCGTGTCGCGGCCGAAAAGGGGCCACGCGCCCCTTCACGAGGCAGCAGGCAACGGGCTCTCCCTCCCCACCTGCCTCCAGGGCAGCTGCTTTGCATCCCAGGGCCCTCCGAAGTTCCTCAGGTGGCCATCCCCACTTCCCCCCAGCCACTGACCCATCGGGAGTCCACCCCACCCCTTGCAAAAGTCTACAGTGCCCCTTCAAGGTGCAGCGACTGGAAGCAAGCGCTTTGAGCTCCCGTGCCTCTCGATCATTTCCCCACCACATTTGGCACATTCCAATGCAGAACGGTGGGCACATTTTCTTCCCCCTTTCCGCTCTTGCCTTTGGTTGCAGCCGCCCCTTCCACGTGCCTCGTTAGCAGGCGGAATTGTGCTCCCGGAAGCCTCCTGGAGCTGGGAAGCTGCTTGGAAGCAACAGGCACAAGCCCTGCGTCCCGCGGCTTTGGCTGCTGCAGCATTTTTGGCTGATGGGTGGGAGGAGGCCCTGGGGGCTCCTGGGGGTGCAAGGCCAGCCACAGCCCTGGGCATGCCCCACTCGAAGACGCTGTAAGGCTCTTTGGCTGCAATCAGGACAGAAGGAAAGCCCTGCCGGATCAGGCCCAGGGTCCGCCCAGTCCAGCACTCTGAACGCGGGTGGCATCCCAGCTGCCCACCGGTTCCCCCAGGCAGGGTGGCCGCAAGTCCTCCTCCTGCCCAGCTCCTCGGCAACCAGTGGGTGCAGGCAGGCTGCCTCTGGTAAAGCAGGCAGCACTTAGCCAGCACGGCTAGCAGCCACGGAGTGCCTCCTCCTCCTCCACGAATTTGCCCAGCCCCCTTTCAAAACTATTGCAACTTTGCAATGGTTGCAAACATTGGCCATTAAAACTTTCTGTGCCAGCGAATTCCACTGCACGTTATGCGAAAAAGCATTTCCTTTTATCTGTCCCAAATCTTCTACTAGTCAGCTTTGTGGCATAACCCCTGGTTCAAGTGTTATGGGAGTGAGACTAAATAGAAACATGAAAGCATAGAAACAGAGCGAGTCAGAAGGGGTCTCCAAGGCCATCTAGTCTGACCCCTGGCTCCAGCCGGCTCTGCTCACGACATGCCTCCCATGTGCATGTCCAGCCTATCCTGGAACACCCACACCGATGGGGCCTCAACCACCTCCCCTGGAAGCCCATTCTGCACTCCGGGGGTCCTAACTGTCAGGAAGTCTCCCTCTCCATATTCTGCACACCGGGAATTACTTTAAACACCTCAGTCACATCTTCCCTGCCTTGCCTTTGGACAGGTTGAAAAGCACCTGTCCTCATACAGTACCTGCAGGACCCCACCAGTGGCCTCTCTCTATTGGGAGAAGTTCCTGTTTATTCCCACCTCTGCCTTCTGTTCTTTGACCAGTTAGTGATCCGTAAGAGGATCCTGCCTTTTTTCTGTGACTGCTTAGTTGGCTCAGAAGCTTTTGATGTGGGACTCTGTCAAAAGCCTTTGGAAGCCCAAGTAAACAGGTCTATTGAATCCACAACTACTGGTCTTCATGCTTATTGACAAAGAACCCAAAGAGGTTCATGAGACAAGACTTCCCCTTCAGAAGCCATGCTGGTTTTTTTCCAGCGGGGCTTGTCCCTCCTCGTGCTTTCTGATTCTACCTTTAATAATGCTTCCAAGCAGGTTGTTAAGTCAGAAAAAATGTTAAGCCAACTGGCCTGCAATTTCCTGGATACCTCAGGATCCCTTTTTAAGAAGTGGTGTTACATCAGCAGTTCTGCAGTTCTCTGTACAAGGGCTGAGGAGCCGTGAAGGTAGATGTCCAGAGTGACTTTGCTGGGGAGGCTGCGCCACCCCCAGGGACTGCTCACATTCTTCTAGGCTTGGCGGGGCAGGCCACGTGCTCCCACTGTGGCTGGAACAGCCTTGTGGAAGGGCCCCCAAACTGCATATTGGCTCTGCACAGGGCCATGCTGATGACCTTTCCCATCCCAGAAGCTGCCATGTCCTCCCAAATCAAAGGAACTTCCCTCATTTACTCTCTCAAAATGCCTGTCCTGCAGAGCAAGAGCGCACAGGACTAGAAACTTGGTTGGCAATGTTGCATAAAAGCTGAGGAAGTCTGCATACGGACATTTGTGTCAGACACAAAGCCGCAGCTCCCATTTTTCTCTCTCTGTGACTTGGCAGGAGAACCGTTTTTCCACACAATAATCATTCATTGGGTTGAGAGACCAGAAGCACCCGCCTGCCCTGCCCTTGCGCTGCCTGAGCATTCCCCGCACTCGGCAGAATGCGGTCCTGGGCGCCTCGGATGCGTGCCGGACGGCCCCTGTGCAGCTGTGGCTGCTGGCCTGATGCTCTGGGGTACGGCTTTGAAAGTCGGGAGCAGCGCAGGAACGGCGCCCGAGCCAGATTTGATACCGTCGCGCCTCCAAGGGGGTGTCGCATCACACGCCCCCGCTGGCGAGCTGGGAGTGGGCTTCTTCTCCGCAAGCTTCAGCTGCGGCTGACTAATCAGCTTAGCGCCTCTTTTATCCCACAGCTGCTGGGCCCCAGGAGGAGGCAAATGCAGCCAGCAAACGCCAGCCGCTGCCGAAGGGAGCCTTCCAGCCAGGCGCTCTTATCGGATCTGCCTCCGCAGCGTATTAATGACTTTCGGAAAAGGGAAAAGAACACATGCGGAATTTTGGGAGACTTTTCAGAAGTGGATGGGAGGGAGAGGCGAGGGGGGCGAGAAGGGCCCCCTTCCCAGGAATGGGAGCTGACTCAGGCTGACATTAAGATGTCTGCAGCTCAGCCACGGATCCCGGCGCCTGCGTTTCTCTCGGGTGGTGCGGGATGCTGGCAACATGTGCACGGGAGAAGCCAGGAGTGGGGCATTTCGACACCTTTGTTGGGGCGGATATTTCAGGCAATTGCTGTCATGGAAGCGACCTCCTTTAGGAAGGGAAGAAAGGAGTGCAATGCGCTACGGGGTCACCTGGCTTCTCTGCGTGTTCCCTGCGTGCGCCCTGGACCTGGGAAGTGGCGCTCTGAGGCGATGGCCTTCCCACGCCCTGGGAGGCCCGGAGACGAGGCTGCCCCACGGCTCAGAGGGCCAGCTGGGGCAGCCCGAGGGAGAGGCGCCTGGGCCAGGTGGAGAGCAGCCCCTGGCGTGGGGCAGCGCCGTGGGGGCCTTCCGTCTGGAGCCTGAGCCGGGGGGAAGGCAGCCGTGCACAGGAGCCCTCCGTGGGAACGAGGGCCGAGCGATGCGCATGCCTGAGAAGGGACGAGGCTGGGCTGCTCGGGGCCACGGGGCTGGCCCGTGGTTCCTTCTGCTGGCTGCGGGGGCCAGAGCACAGCCCCTTCCCCTCCGGCATGGAAGCGGGATGCCCGTAGAGGCCCCAGCTCCCTCCTGGAGATGCCTGTCAAGGGCAACCCCAGCGGGCCGCTTCTGCCTTCAAGCAAGCGCCTCCCTCGGAGGGTCCCATAAAACCCAGTCGCTCGTGTGCTGCCTCCAAACTCCCGCACTGGCTTCCCCTGCAACGATTCCGTCCGGAGGTTTGGCACCAGCACGGCCATCATCCTCGGCCGGTGGCCTTGCTGACTAGGGTTGATGGGAGCTGTTGTCGGAATCCTCTGGAGGGCCGCAGGCGTGGGAAGGCAGTCCGCTCGGACGCGTGAGCTGCACCGGGGGCCCCGTGTGACGGCCTGCTGGAGGAGCACCTCGCGCACACCTGGCCGCCACCGTCTCGCCCCAGGAGCTGCTGCTCCAGGTGGGCAGAAGTCAACCTGCCGCGGTTCCTTGCATCCACCACGCACCTGGCAAAGACTGCACCGCCCTGGTGAAAACACTCAAGGAATTGGCAGATGGTCCACTGCCAAATTGCCACCGTCTCTGCCGTTGGATCTCCCTCCCTAGAGGTGACAAACCTCAAGTACCCTCCCCAGGGGGGTGGGAGTATACTCCCATCATCCCCAAACCGCAAGACCCCTCCACCACCCGCTGCTGGCAATGCAGTGTCTTCGGCCCCCTGCTGAAGGGAGCTAGCTTGGGTGCGATGGTGTGCGCACTGGACACAACTGCTGGCTGGCTTTGGGCCAGTTGCTCAGCCTCAGCACAGCCTACCTCACAGGGTTGTTGTGAGGAGCTATGTAAGCTGCCTTCAGACAAGTGGGAAAAGGCGGGCTATAGATGCGATTTCATCCTCCTCTCGAGGGCACAGGGTTGGGGATGTCTCCAACAGGCAAATGGACTTTGTCTCTTTCCCCAGGTCTGAACCCCTGGACTTGTTTTCTGAACATCTATAAAAGCAGAGCGAAGAGCTGTGGCCACTAAGGTCTTGCAGGACGCCCCCGGGCTGCCCCGGCTTTTCCCGCGTCTGTTCAAAGCATCATCTAAGCTGGTCGGAGGGCTGGGGGGCCAGGGACTGGGACTTCCTGACCAGCAGCCTGCTGCGGCTCCTCCGCTGGACCCCCAGGCCTGGCTTACCTTGGTGGGCTGCAGCTGTTCGAAGATGTTCTCCCGGAGGGTTGTCCCTGCTTTGCTGGTGTTCCACTCCTGCTTGCGCATCTGCGTCGTTGGAGGGGTGGAAGGGCCCAGGGCCGTGCTCAGGTACGTCCCGTTGCCGAAGGCCTGGATGGCATTTTCTGCAGGAGGAGGAGGAGGAGGAGGAGGAGGAGGAAAGAGCTGAGCTGGAGAGCTGCACTCCTGAGGTTGCTCATGGCCCCGCACTGTGGATGGGTGAAGTTGGCTGGGATCTTCTTCGGAAGAATAGACATGGAAGCACTCGTGGAGCGTTCTGCAGAAATACTGGCAGGAATGATGGCCCATGTCCTGGAGAAATGCCTAGCGGACTGCTTTCCCCAGTAGCTACGCAGCTGAGATTCGGGACCCTCCGAGATGGCCTCGCTGCCCCTGCAGCTGCCGACGGAGACCATGCCTCCATGGAATTCTGTGGGGTGACATCCCCCCCCGGAAGGCCACCCCTGGGCACTTCTGGAGGCAGAAAAACATGGCGTGTGTCACACGCTTCCTGGAATGCCCTTGTTCTGCCAGCCCTTCTCTGGCCTGTCTGCTGGCTTTCCCATGTTGCTGCTCTGTGCTCAGCGCTTGTGGTTGGAATTGCTTTTAATCTTTTATTTTAAATGTCACTTGCGTTGCAACCACAGTTGAAATGGCTCTCAACCTCACGTCTGAGAGTGTTTTTAAAGTTTTTTGTGTGAACCGCTGAGAGATTTTGTTCTATCAATCAGTCTTGGAGTCTTGCTGCTGGATAAGCTAGACAGATGTTCACACTCCAACAGCCTTTGCTCCCTCAGGTCTAGCACCTTGCGCTATCCAACTGCCTGCTCCTGGAACTGTCACCCTGGGCCTCCTTTCCTTCAACTCCCCACTCCGCAAACCCAGCTTCCTCCCCGTAACATGCCAAAAATAAGCAAAAATGCACATGACTGAATCAATGGCACATTCTCTCGCCCACGCCCCCTTCCCAGCCTGCCCCACTCCTCTCCCCTGTCACCTGCTTTCTGGGAAGTATGCTCCTGTGGGCAGAGACCTGAATTCTTGAACTCGAACGAAGTGACATGAAGAGATCAGTCTGCCAGATCCAAAGAACTTGGAGCAAGCCTCTGGGCCAGCTTTCCCCAAGCAGGCAGCCTCCAGATGGGAGGACTCCAAGTGCCATCCCTCCCAGCCAACAGGACAGCACACAGGGGGTAGGGGGTCCCAGGCTGGTGAAGGGGGTTATGTGGGACTGGATGGCTGGGCCAGGGCAGCAGCGGAGGGAACTTTGCAGCGTTTAGAAGAGCTCATGGCACTGCGGCCAGCTGGCCGGCCGGCCTTCTCCTGCCCGGGTGCCTGGCTGAGGAGCGCTGGCAGCCGTGGGCCTTCCTGCTGTCTCACGAAGCATCTGGGGCCCCCAGGAACGAGCGAAAAGCCGCACGAAGGAGGCATTCACAAGCGGTGGGGCAGCGCCGTCCTTTCCCAGTGGGTGCGTGTGGTGCATAGAGACCCAGAGGGAGAGGGCCACCCCACCGCGGGAGGGCGAGCGAGAGGACAGAGGGCTTGGGACCACGGCTCTCCACACTGTCCCCACATGACCCTCCCTGAGGGGAGCGAGGCCACCCGCAGAACACTGGGCATTAAGCGGCCAGAAGGACGGTTCCGGCCCGTCCTTCATCTTTAATGGCCGTGCACTTTCGGTGGCAAAGACGTCGCCGAACACACGAAGCGGGTGTCTCCGTGCAGCGGCTTCCGCTCTGCGCAGGAGGCTCCACGGAACCGGGAACTCTGAGCCTGGCCCTGCCTGCCCCCCGTCTGCCCGCCCCATCAGGTCTGTCCTTGCAGCGGCCTTCCGGGGGCAGTCCGTCTGTCCGTCCCTGTCTCTCCAGCCGTCCATCTCTGCTCCCGCCAGGACCCCTCCTGTCAGTTATCTTTGAGCCCTGACAAGCCCACGTCCTTCCGGGACATGATGAGGCCATCCTCCTGCCTCATCACTCCAGGGCCAGCAGCAAATTTTATTTTCTGCCTCTGGCACTCGGACAGGCCCTCCTGCCCCCTCAAGGGCGGCCTTCGGGGAGGGACGGGCCCCCCGACGTGGCCCACCGGAGCTGCAGAGGCCTGCCTGGCAAGGATCCTCCTGGCCTGGGAAGGGGCTGCGAGATACTCGAGGGGGGCTCAGGCGGGGCGCCTCCGTTCCCGGGGGAGAGCCAGGAAGCCTCTTGGAGCAGATCATGCCCCCTCCGTCCTAAGGGCTGCTGGGTCAGGCTCCCTGCTGGCCGGGCCCTCCCACGGCTCCCCCATCGCTTGACGGGAGCCTCGGCTTCCCACCTCTAAACGTGGGGGCCAGAGGCCCGCTCTGCAGGACTGTTGTGAAGACGAGCAAGAGAAGGCGGGTGACACCCGTGGGCAGCGGGTGCTTTGCTTTTCCTTTTTTAACCCAGGCAGTGGGGGGGGGGGGGGGGGGCAGGGGATGCCGCCTGAGGCTCGCAGGACCAAACCCTTTGAAGCCCTCCCACGATCCAGCTGCCTTGCCCACGCGGGGGCGGGGGGCGCGTGTGGACGAGCAGCGTGCACGCGCGTCCGGCAGCGGCGGCCCCTCGACGCCCGCTCAGTGCCCCTCCGCGCATTCCGCTGGCGCGCCTCGCCAAAGGAGAAGGAAGGGGGCGAGGAACGGCCCGGGGCGGGCAGGCGGGCACGCGCGGCCGGGCACGAGCCCCCCGCCCCCCCCCCGTGGCCGCGGGGGCGCGCGGTACTCACGGAGGCAGAGGTTCTCGGTGAAGAGGCGCAGGAAGCCCTCGCACTCGCCCTGCCGGTTCCCGCTGCCGTTGCACGTGCACCAGGGCGCGATGCTGGAGGTGGAATTGTCGATGTAGTTCGGGGTGATGGGGCTCCCTGCGCGGGGGGGGGGGGGGAAGCGGGGAGGGGAGAATCACTCTGAGGGCCGGAGGAGAGGAAGGGTGCGGGGGGGGGGCCGCGGAGCAGGGGCAGTCAAACCTGCCGGGCGGCATCCCCGCCCTCGCGCACGGCAGCTGCGCTTCCGCTCGCTCTGCAGCGCCTTGCACTACCGCTCCCAGCATCCCCAGCCGCGCTGCTTCGGAGGGTGCCAACATGGGGAGGCTGGCCCAGTTCTGCCAGCCCCCTGTCCTGGAGCCTTTCGGGGCCAGCAGCCAAGGGGAGGCCAAATGGAAAGGAGCCGAGCGGGGCCAAGTGGGTGAGGTGCTGCGGAGGGGCAGGGGGGGGACTCTGCGCACCCCTGCCCTTTTACGCAGAAGTCCCGGCTTCTTCCAAGTGTAAAATCCGCACCCATTTTTTCCCCCAAGCCCTTTGGTGTTTGCCTTTGATAAAGCAGCCTTGGCAAGTTTCTAGCCCATAGTCTTAATATGTAGACTGCATTCACTTGTAGACATACAAGCCATTTCTGTTGCCCGGATGGCCAGAATGGAGTCAAAAGAAGGTGGGCAGACCCCATCCCTGAAAATAGGACCCATTCTCCTCTGGTGGCAAAGGCTGCTTGTTCGCCTGGAGACGGTTCTTAGTCACCAAGGGCGACCAGGCAACCACCTGTAGATGTTAACGCACAACGCTCGTGTTGTCAGATATGAAATGAGGTGACATTTCAGCTGTGATCCCGGTGGAATCTCCTGCAGAGCACAATTTTCGGTTTCTGGTGTGAAATGAAGCCCTGCTGGCTGCCCACCGTTGCCTAGCTGGCTACCCACCACAAGCCCTTGAATATCCTATAGGACTCTCAGGGAACCACGGACTCCTTTTGGGGGCAAAGGGGCTCCCTCTCCCCAAGATGCGACTCCAAGGCTGGAATGCAGGAGTGCCTTGAAGAGGCACACCCGTGCATGTTGGCGAGGAGGCCTCCGTGTGGGATCGAGGCTCTCGGAAACGCGGCTCCTGCTGCGTTCCGTTCCCAGACCGTGTGCTTCGAGCAGGGCCTTTTCTTTGCCTCTGTGTGTAATTGCTTCTGCGGTTTCCTGTTTGAAATCCATCTGGGATCTGGAATGGCATTTTGGCTGCATGCCACAGGCCCGCCAGAAGAAATGCATGCACCACTCCCCCATCGCTGTGGCACTTTGCCCCTCCTGCCGGCTCTCCTCCTCCCCCACGGATGCACAGGGAACCTGGGGGCAGGGGGGTTGTGAGAAAGCTTGCTCCACCAGGCAGCACAGGTGTCTCAGCCTCTCTATCGCCACTCGACTGCACAGAATCAAGCTCTCCACGCGACTGCACAGACTCAAGCTCTCCACCTGCTCTGGGCCAGCAGCATGGCTTGCTGGCCTGTGCCAATCACCTCCAGCACATCTTACAAGACCCAGACAACAGGGACAGAGCGTCAGGGAAATGCCCTTCCGCAGGTAGCCTCAGGCCTCAGTATTTTCCTCGCGGCAAGGGCATCACTGCCTGGGCCTGATCCCAGCAAAGAGTCCTCCCCTGGGCCCACACAGCCTAAGGCCCCGCTTGTCTCACTGGGGGCCGGGAAAACCCTTGGCTGGGGGCAGACAGGAGTGGAGCCACATCCATATTCCTGCAGCCTTCACTATCCCGCATCACAGCAAGCCCCCCAAATCGCCCGTGAGCTTGCAAGACCTCCCGAGGCATACCTATGATTCCGGTGTAGGCCAAAAGACACGCCGCGAAGTTCTCCCTCCGGCATCTCGTCACAGACTGCGTGGACGGCTGGCAGTTAAACTGGAACTCGGCATAACGGGATCTGGGAAAGCGGACGACAGGCAAAGGGCAGCACGTGGACAAGCAGGCCTGATGGGCGGCACGAATCCTGGCTGCCTGAACGTTTCTGAGCCCGACTCAAGTCTGAAGGACTGCCTCCCCTGGACCAGCCCCCTGGCTACTCTTCAGCACCCGAGGTCTTCCTCTGAGGTTCTCCTCCGAGAGAGGCTCAGAAGGTGAGAACGAGGAGGAGGGCCTTTTCAGTGGGGCACCCCAGTTCTGTAATGCTCTTCCTGCTGAAGTCCACCAGGCCCCAAAGTGCTGAGCTTTTCGGCACCAGGTTAGCTCTGCCCTCTTGTCCCAGGAATTCATGGCATATGAAGGATAATGCACACCACTTATTTCTGCCATGCCCAGTTTACCTTTTTGTAAATGTTTTTGCTGTTTACATTAGAAACATAGAAACAGAGCGAGTCAGAAGGGGTCTCCTGGGCCATCTAGTCTGACCCCTGGCTCCTGCCGGCTCTGCTCGTGACCAGCCTCCATTGTTTTAATGTTGTATGTTAGAGATTTTACATTATCTTTGTGTTACCTTGTACATTTTGGGGACAACCCAGAGAGCTTCAGCTACTGGGCAATACAGATGTGAAAACAGCCAACCCCCCAAGGCAATTTCCATGCACTTGTTCCTCTCCATCTCTCTTCACAACAGCCCTGTGAGGTAGGTTAGGCTGAGGGCCAGTAACTGGCCCAAAGTCACCCAGCAAGCTCCACAACCAGGTGGGGGACATGTCCCAGTGCAAAACTCTCCCCCCTGGGCCTCGCTGACTCTTTGGGCTGAAGAATTAACTCCCTGGTTGTGTACGGCTTTTACCCAGTTGCTTTCTTGAGTGGTAATGTTTGGGCAAAGTCTCAGGCTCCCCCTCTTCTCCATCCCTCCCTGTTTCTCTGCCTTCCGTCTGCCTGAAATTGATTCGGGATGGAAGGAGGCAAAGACGGCCCGTGGCATCACTAACTTGAGAGTGGCCACCGATGCGTCGCCAAAAGAGAGGACAAAAGACCCCGACTTTGTGCTAACAGATGTGCCCATTTATAGGGAGGGGCGCAGCTGTGCAAATCATGGCTAGAGTTTAAGCTGAGGTGTTTTCGCCAAGGTCTGTCCTGCACTGTTGTAGTTTTTCGTGTGGCAGCACACAGGACAGGAGAGCGCGGCACCTTCACTCCCCTGGTGCCGGCGATCGGCGCCGAGTTCCCTCCTGTGCAGCTGCGAATCAAGGTGTTGTGCGGACCTGGGGAAGGGCTGAGCAAGGTTCTGGCGGGGCCGGGGGCAGCGGGGAATGTGGAAATTTCCCGGAGGCCAGCGCACACGTCAAGACGGCCGGAGCAGCCCTGCCACCTTTCCGAGCCATGTGAGGTCTGTTTTTGCACAGGGGCGCTTGGGACCCCAGAAGAATGCGGCCTTGCGGGACACCGTCGTGCCCGCTCCGCTTCCTGCTCTGTTTGTTTATTATTCATTCATTGATTAATTAACTAATCAAAAGCTTTTCTATCCCGTCCCCCACAAACGTCTTGGGACGGCTTACAATAAAACACATTTCTGACTGGCTGCCTCAGGAAAACGGTGCTGTTCCAGCTGTTCCTAAGCACCAGATAAACAAGGGTAGACTGTGACTAAACATGGAGGGTTCACGGCAGTCCCTTGTGCAGGAATTTGCTGGGGAGGGCCAGCCTGGCAGAGGCCGAGCTGAGGTCTGTGTGTGAGGGGGGTGTGTGGACTCCCTGCGGGAACTGATCCGAAACCCCGGCCACGCTTTCGGCTTTGTCACGTGGCAGTCTCCCCCAGCCTGGCTGTCACCAGGCGCAATGGACTACACCTCCCATTACCCCCGGCTTCCGGGAGTGGTGGTCTGGCGGGCGCCCAGCTGGGGGAGGTGGCAAGTCAGTTGGGAACAGGGCGTTTTACTCGGGAGTGACCCTTGCTGGAGAGGGGAAGGAGGACCGGGGCCGCACCTGCAGACGTAGTTCCCCTGGCAGGCGTCCAGCGGCCCCAGGCAGTTCGGCTTCTCCTTGGCCTCGTAGGAGCAGGTGGGCACGATGGTCTGCCTGCGACGCTCCGCGCAGGCCGTGTCGTCACAGGGGCAGAAGAGCAGCTCGTGCGTGTACTCGGGCGGCACGCGGTCAAAGAACTTCCGCAGGGCCTTGTGGCACTTGGAGCGGTTGCAGGTGTCGGCCCGGGCCACGCGGCGGATGCAGGAAGAGACGTACTCCGTCCGGAGGCGCTGGCAGACCTCGTCCATGTTGCAGGCCTTGGCGGCATCCAGGCAGCGGTTCACCTGCGTCACCTCGTTTTCAGAGCCTGCGCGGCAGAAGCAGGTACGAGCTGTAATTTTCCATCCAGGAATCCCTGGAATGGGTCCAGCCTCTGATCTTCCCTTCCTACCCCTTTCCTCTTTCTTCCCCATCTCTTTCCACGTGCGTCAGATCTTTTTAGAGTAGAAGACCCCGGGCAGGAGCTATTTGGTATGCGAGAGGGTCCTTTTTTGTTGAGGAGTGGTGTAAACATCAAAGCATCCTAAAACCATGGAGTCAGGGGGGTTTAAAAGACCAGCAAGTCAACCCCTGCTCCGAGCAGGACCCCAAGATAAGCCATGCCTGACCGAAGGCTGTCCAGCCGCCTCTGGATTGTTTTAAAGCAAATCGATAATCTATACAGAAAGATGCAACCCAGAAATCTGTATGGTGTTCTCCACCTGCCGCCTAGATGCCCGCAGCTGAGGAAGGACAACTGTTTGGGGGGTTTTGGCTTTAAATCGGACCAGACGCTTTGTCAGACAGAGGTAACCTTCAGACAGAAGCTTGTCCCCGGACAGCTCTTCCGGTAGAGGATTATCCCATCTAAAGTAAGATGCTGTCTACCCTATAAGTCGGGTGGAACAGCAATCTTAATTTAAAGAGGGTGTGATTGTTTTTGCTTTGATGCAGTCCGATGGCCATAAAGATTGAGGGTTTGCTGCTTTCCTTTTTCACTGGGCCTCTTCTAACAGCTAGATGTTAGTGGGAAGTCTGGGTTCATATCCCTGCTCCCCACAAAACTCAAAGGATGGCTCTGAGCGAGTCTCTCCTGCTCAGCCTGGCCTACCTTGCAAGGTTGTTGTGGAAATCAGTGAATCTGGTTAGCTCTATCCTGAATGATACGGCCAGCACAGCTTTGCCTGAAGCGAAATTTGGAGTGAATTTGAGTATTCCTCTTCAAGCAAAAGTTTTGAGGAATTTCAGGGGAATGCCAAAGGATTTGATGATTACTGAAATTGTGGAAAGCATTTGGCATTCTGAGGTTGTCACTGAGCTGAGCCAAATAGCAATCTGGGATATCAAGGGGATTTCAAGAGAAGTGACAGCAAATATCACTGGGTTTAGCAACATTTATCAGGCAAAGGTGAGACATGGAATTGCCGGTGCAGGAAGCAGGTCACAGACAGAAAAGGCCGGGAAGGGGAGAACTCAGAACCCCGGTCCAAGGAAATTTTTTGCAAATACTGGGAAACGGTGACCCAAAAGAAGGACAATAGAATTGGAGTGTGTGTGGTACCATTGTTGGCCTGGGGTCTCTAATCTTGTGGGGTTTATAGGAACACCACCCACTTAAGGAGTGTCTTGTGGGCACTCACACAAAATGGCTGCTGTGGGAGGGTGTGCTACCCAGAAGGCGAACTGGTGAGACTAGAGGGAAATGGCCTTGCTGAAGAGGCCAGGTGAGCCCTTGAACCAGTAAAAACCATCTGGCGATGCTCAGGGGGCATGGACAGAACAACCTCTGATCCTCCGTGGGACCATCTGTGAGCTCTTTTTGGGGGCAGACTTCAAAGCAAGCCCCCTTTCATTTTCAAGGCTGCTCTTGAGGCTCTCGGGGGATCCAGAGACATGCGTGGAAATGAAAAGGGCACCTGAGGCTGGCAGAACAGCGACCCGGGAGGTTTGGGCCCTCCCCCGCTCCCCAGAGGCATCAGGATGCAGCAGGGCAGCCACCTGGGAGGGGTGCTTGAACTGGGAGCCCCGCACTGAGCAGGGCCTGGACCCTCCGGCCCCTTCCGGCTCCGTGATTCTCCGCCTCCGGTTTTGCAGCAAGCCAGCTTCCCAATTTAAGGCAAGAATTTTGCAAATGAAAGGAATGGGTTTGGGTCCAGGATCTGGGTGGGGCAGGGGCCAGTCCAATGTCTGCTGGAAGCCTTGCAAGGGGAAAGAAGGCCCCAGAGACCATGTGTGGGAGTCATTTTCAAGCTGTCCTGTAACTTATCATCAGATTCCGCGAGTGGCATCTGGACATCGGAATTGAGAAGGAGGTCGAGCGTCCACACACTAGTTGCGAAGGCAGCCAGCATTCCCGCCTGATGGAAAGGAAGCCGTTGCACCCCCAAGAAAATGGGGCCCGTCCTGTGGGTCAGCCCCACCTTGCTGACGATGGGGAGAAATGATGAATAGCAACACCGGTGGGTCCTTATGCACCCCCAGGATTCTTCCCCAGTCTCTGCCAAGGTGTCTTACCTCCCCCCCCCCCCCACGCACACCTTTAACACATTTTCCTTCCAGCAGCTGGATTGTCGCATAGAGAATTTTTGTTGGCACCGAAAACTGTGGCTTCGCCAATTCGTTGTTTGGTACATTGGGGCTTGGACCCCATCTCAGCCTTGGTCGCAGCCATTTGGCCAGCGGGCCAGTCCTTTCCCATGGCCTCCAATGGGAAGGCTACCTGCCCATGGCGTGAGGTTGCCGGCCCATGCTGTAAGCGAAGCTGGGAGAATGAGCAGGGGCACCCAGACATACCTGCCGTGATGGAAGCCAGCCGGACATAGTCAAAACCCCGGACGAACGGCTCGTAAGGAGAACTCTCCATCACGTTCATTCCTAGTGAAAACGGAAGCAGAGTTATCTGTAGAAATGCATAGCTAGGGAGCATGAAGAAAATGGACGGGTTGTACCCCACCGTTAAAAGCCAAGCCAAAATCTTCTGGCGGGTTATGACGAGGACGGTACGGCGGTATCAAAAGCAATATGGCAAACCAAGGCAAACATTCTTCAAGGAAAATGGAAGGGAAAGTCGAACAGCAGAGCAGCAGAGGCCAGTTCTGCAGCCAGTGGTCACCACAGAATCTGAAAGGCTGCGACCTTGAAAGGCCTGGACAAATGAAGGTGGTTGCCACCTGGAATGGAAAGGACTTTCCAGTTAGTGCCAGCCAGGAAAGCTACATTTGGCAGACCAAACCTGCACAGGCTGAGACCCCATCACCACCTCTGGTGGCCGCGGAGAAGCACCTTCGGTGAAAGATGACCTTAACTCGTGATGCGAAGATCCGCCCAGAATCTGGTTCTCTTGCATTCACCAAGACTGACTTCTCACATGAGGCCAACTCTGCGAATGCTCAGGAATGCTAGCAGGGCGCTTTGCCCTGAATTATTGCACAAAGTACGCAAGGACCACCAGTCACAAGTGTGGACGCAGAATTTCGCAGCACAATGGGCTTGCAGGCCGCCGGCCGCCTGGATGCAAACCGGCTTCGCAAGTGCTACCTGTCCCACAGGTGGATTTGCTCGCTGCCAGACCTGCAGGATCGCTTGCAGACTTGTGAAGTGGACTTAGGGCAGAGGAAAAGTGGGCCGAAGTCCGGGGAGCCAAACCGACGGAATCCAGTGGATTCTCACCCGCGAACCAAATTCCTCGCACAGTCAAACATGCTTTCATGCCCTTTCAATACCAGCATCCCAAGCTGCAGTGCTTCAGGCCAACGCTTGCTTGGTTCTCAAGAGCGGAAGCTTGGAATTGGCACGAAATGTGCCATCTGACCAGTCCCGGGGTGAGTTTGGAGCGGTTAAAGCTACTGAGCAGTCTTCAAAGACGGACTCACAAGTGATGCATTACTGTAGTCTAACTTGGAAGGAGTGTTTTTCTGGAGCTGTCGGTCCTGCGGGGCTTATAGCTGGAACACTGGTCTTGGCAGATAGCTGGAGAGCAAGAGGAAAAGCTGTGGGGTTCTCCCCCCCTCCTTTTAAAAAAAATAAGTTTTTTGTAAGATTCATCTCTCAGCATTCTCTCATATATATATGTGTGTGTGTGTGTGTGTGTGTAAGAGTGCTTCTCAGCTTTCTACTTTATCTCGTCTCTCTTAAAAAACCAAGGAAGAGCTATTTTGAACAATGAGCGATTTACCATACTCTGTTTTCTAAAGCAGTAAAAATGTGCCATTTATAAAAAAATAAAATAAAAACGAAGGGAGGGGAGAAAATCTATAATTGCTCGAATAAATGCATATTGCTGTGGAATGCTGCTGTAGAAGAAAAGATACACTAAAACCACAGAGAAACTCTGCGTGGTTGTAAATCAACATGTTTTTAATGGTTATATCAACAAATCACTGAGCACCTTTCTTTGGAAAATAAGTGATGCGCCCAAGGAAAAAGGGATTAAAATCAATGATGGTATACGAAGGCTTTCTGCCTGCTGCTGATCTAAATAATGACTTTTGGAGTGGGTTTCAATCAATTACACCGGCCCAACAACGGTCCTCACCTCCCTTCCTTGGCTCAAGTTCCTTTGGGGTTCTCAGGCTCCTGCCCCACTGCAAAGCCGGATGCCTTTGCGACGTGGTTTGGTCATCACTGCCCGAGCTCCACGGCCCTGGTCCGTGCTGGCTACTCTTAGCAAGAGCTTCATGTCTCAGCAGGCTTTCTGGGGCCAGGGCTGGGTTGCGAGGGCCGGGAGACAAGGCAAGGTCCCCAGGACCAGGGCAGCGGAATTCAAGGTGAGATGGGGGTTGGTTTAATGGCAAGTCCAATACATAGTCACGGGGCAGTCCGAGGTCGGGAAGCAGAAGCAGGCATCCAGGCAGAATGAGGACGTGGGCAGGACCGAGCCAAGGGCAGGGTATCTGGTGCAGCAGGGCGCAAGGAGCAGCGAGACGCAGAGACATGGCAAGGTGTAGGGGAGAGGGCAAGGGCCAGGCCGGATGCAGGCACCCCAGCGAGCGGAGGGCTGTGTTGCCGAGGGGGCACAGCCAGGTGGGGTACAGGGCACGGCAGGATACATGGCAGAGGCTGGGCAAAGTATAGGAGCCGAACCACGGCTGGCAGGAGAACCTGCAGTGCTGAGGCAACACGGCAAGGCCGGACGAGGCAGGAAAGGGTGCGTACAGCAAGGCAGGATGCAGATCAGGCAAGGTCCTGTGAATGCTGCGCTGGTGTTGGTTCTGGCCACCACAGCACCACAGACCCGACCATGGTGGTACTTTTAGCCCTGCCCCCTGCCCACCTTTGAGACGTGGCCCTTTGGAACCTATCAGAAATGGACTTCAGCGCTTGGGCCGAATGCACCTCTGCCAACACGCAGAGTAGTTGGTTGTTCCCCCCCCCACACACACACACAGCTGGATGGGCCTTTTGGGGTGGACACCTTTTTCTGTGCTTTGAATCAGTGGGTGAATGGGGAGGGTTCTGCATGGCTGCAGCTGCGCCCCCCTGAGTTCAGGCTTCAGCTCTCGCTGCCCCCTAGCCTTGGGGTTGTGCCTGCGCCTCGGGAAGAAATGGGGCTCGGCGGTTCCAGATCCAGATGTGCAGAACCCCCTGCTTGACGTGAGGCTGATGTGCTTGTGCGCTGGCCCTGCATGCGTTTCTTTCACAGTATCTGGATCCTGGTTTACCAAATGCTACATTCAAAGCTGCATTGAAATGCGGCTGTAGCGGAGCAATCCTGTGCACATCGGCCAGAAGTAAATCCCATTGAATTCAATGGGACTCGATGCCTGGCCAAGTCTGCTGAGGATTCCCGCCTCGAACAGGAACATCCTACCCAAACAACACGTAACAGGCAAGCTTGGCGTCAAAGATGGAATGCCTATGGGAACAGAAGGAGGGGTCAGCGGCGAACCTGAATGCAAGCAGGGGTTTCCACAAGCTGGGTGCCACCACAGAGAAGACCGCACCTCCCATGGCCAGCCGTTATCCCTTTGGTGGTGATGGGACGCCGGAGGGGCCTCCGGTTCTGACTGCAATACTGGGAAAAGTGTCCTTTGAGTCCCTCAAGGAGCGTGGCTTGTGGAGGCCGATGGGGCTGCCTCTTCCCTCGAGAGCGAGTTGGGGTCCCTGCTGAGCAGTGTGGCACGGCAACTGCAGGGCGTGAGGGGAAGGACCCAGTGTGACCACTCCTGCCAGCCTGCACCCAGAACTGCTCGATGCCACGTTGGCTTTGCTCCCCCTGACCAGCTTCTGCCTTTCTGTAAGAAAATCTGCGGAAGAACTTCCCTTTGCCAGCACAGCCGCTTGCTCTGGAACATCCTAGGATTGCCAGGTGTCCTATTTAAAAAGAACAGTCCTATCCTTTGGAGAGCTGGAAGAGGACTGTCCTCTCTCTGGGAGCCGGGTTGTCCGGTCAGCCTTTCCCACGATGGCGAGAGGCACTGTCCAGCCATTTAAATTATACTAATTGCTTCCAGATCTGCATTCATGCATCTTGATGAGCGTGTGCGCAGGTGGGTCCCATGCATCGCCCCGGTTGTTTGTCTGCCGTGAATTTCTTCTTTTTCTGTTTTTTCATTTTCTTTCATGGCAATATGCTGCCAGCCAGCCTTCCCACCCCGACCCTAGCCTGATGATAGGGGATTTTAAACCCTGGCCCGCTCCAACCAGGCAAAACTTGGAGCAGGTCGAAGCCTGAGGATGAAACTCTGGGACTAAGATAGCGTCTGAATTGCCCTTGCTTGCGCCTGGTGTGTGTGGGAGAAAGCCCCTTTCCCAGGCCTGCTCTTGCAGGTTGCGCAGCAGGGAGCCCGCTCTGCAGCGGAGATCCGGCCGTTGTGTTGACCTTGCCACAGTGTGCATTGCTGGGCACACCCCCTTGAAGTCTCTCCAGCCTGCCCCCCCTGGCACCTCCCCCAGCTGGCTGGCGCATGTGCGCACCTTTGTGCTGCCCTGCTCCCCTCCCCCAGCGCATCTCCTCTGGTTGCCGGCCGCCCTTTGTAGCAGAGTGTTGCGATAATGACATACAGGCCTGGCAGAAAACTCCCTGCAGAAGACATCAAGCTAATTATATTCAATCACTTGTTCCCCCTTTCATCTGCTCCAAGAACCGTAAAATGCTCCAGTGTACTGACTCATCTCACTGGGTATTACAGAGGCAAATAGTTTGGTAAGTTTTAAAATATCAGAAACAAAACAGCCTCCCTCCCAGGAGGGTTGGGGATTTATACGGAGCAGCGCAGCATCTGCAGGGGTGTGAGAAGGGAGTTCACCCGCGCGGTTGCGGCAGCAGCCCGATCCCGTGAGCTGGGAGGGGACGTGTGCCTGACGAAGCGGCCCAAATTCTAGCACATTTCCATGCATCTGTCCAAGAGAACACAGATAGGAGCAGAGTCAGAAGCAGGCAGAGTTACAGGGATCTGTGAGAGTGCCTCTTCGTTCAAAATGCAGATTGCATCCGGACTTTCCCTCTCTGCAAGGTAGCCGGGAGACGGAGCAAATCGGCCGTCCCTGCTGCCCTGTTCCTTGCACTGGGATCAGGGTCATGGGTTGGGCCTCCTCTCCGGGCTTCCTTGGGAAGCTCACTGGGGAAGGGCAGGGGGAGGAAGTGGCAGGTGACCGTTGTCCTGGTAAAGGAAGAGAAGGCACAGAGGCTCCAGGTGACCCCACCATGAAGCTAGGCCAGCCACAAGGACCAGCACAGTGCCGGTCACCCCTGCATTGGCAAGATGCAGAGCTAGTTATGGCGTCCTGGGGCCCTCAGACAAGACGCCCTCCATCCCCACATCTGCCTCGTCACCATTATTGTCACCAGCCGCCACTGCTCAGCATCCTCCGACTTCCTGGCTCGATGGGCAGTGAGCCACGCAGAAGCAGCATCTGCTGCTCCTCAGCCTCAG